CCATCAACACTTAGCTCATAGTTAGGGTTGGACCAGGTGACCCTGAATCCTCCCTTAGTTATGCTGCAGTAGGTGTAGGCTGCTGGGGATTCCCATGATGCACTGGGCGTTTCTTCTTCACTCACTATGTGTTTATACGCCGCTCTGCTTTTAATCATTAGTTATTATTAATCTGTGGCTCTCCTCCACAGCGTATCTTTGTCCTGTCATATCTTTAATATTGTAGGGTCTGTTCAGTTGAATTCAGTTTAATGATATAGCACCAATTAACAACAACAGTTACTTCGAAGTGTTGTAAACAATTCTGAACCACACACATCGCTGACAACCTAACTCTGACCCTCCTCATTCAGAACGTGTAATAGTAAACCACATACCTTCACATTTCTCCCAACAACGTTACTTTCAGAGGGTTAAAATGCCCCGAAAGCTTCTGTTGAGCTCGTCCGTGCAGGGGTAGTGGTCTCACATCTGGATTGTGGCAGCTGGAATCAAACTGAACGTGACAGAACATGTCTGTGAGAGCTTTAGGAGAATAGAGCTGCTTTCTGGGCGATCGTGGCTCAAGAGTTGGCAGGTCGTCTTGTAATCGGAAGGTTGCCGGTTCAAGCCCCGGCTCGGACAGTCTCGGTCGTTGTGTCCTTGGGCGAGACACTTCACCTACTGGTGATGGCCAGGGGGGCCGATGGCGCGATATGGCAGCCTCGCCTCTGTCAGTCTGCCCCAGGGCAGCTGTGGCTACACCTGTAGCTGCCTCCACCAGTGTGTGAAATGGTGGATGACTGGGTGTGTAAAGCGCTTTGGGGTCCCTAGGCGGGGCTAGTAAGAGCGCTAAACAAATACAGGCCATTTACCATTTCATTCGAAGGAGAATCAAACAGCTTCCGTATCTGGGCCTCTTATCCGGCTGTAAACAAAGTGAGGTAAATCTATGAATGACACAAGTGAAGTGGAAGTGGACAGTGGGAGACATTTTCAGAATTCATGTTTCATCTGAAACGTTGCTGCGAGCAGAGAAGCGACGTGCTCGACAGCACGGTGCACACACGGAGCAGCACAAGAGATTTCTAACAAGCCCTGAAGAGGGATGAGCTCACTGCTGATGCAGATGAATGCTCCCTAAATATCACAGCTGTCTGCCGTGCAGAGCACAGGGTGATGGAGGAGGCGGTGCTAGTTACGAGACGATGGAAACTAAAAACATTTTGATATGAGGAGAAGAAAAGACAGCTGAACAGGTTTAAGGAGAATAAGAAGAGCAGGGAAGTTGGGAATAGAGCAGGATATATAGTGCATGAAAAAAACACGAGGCTGTGCTATGAGGTAGAAGGATGAGACTTAAAAGGCAGACATGAGGAGTGGGAGGAGGAAGAGGAGGGCGGATGTCTGCTGATCAAAGTGCCAGAGCAGAAGGAGAGAGAGAAACAGCAAGCCTGTGCCAGGGAAAAGCAGGAGGAGGAAGACGCTGGAGAGGATGTAAGCAGGATGAAGGAAAACTACCCAGAGTCGAGATGAAGATGAAGAGACGCGATCGTCATAGAGGAACAAGGAACATAATTCAGGCTGATTTTAATGGATCAAACTGGCTAAAATGAACCAAAATGAACACAGATTCCTGTCCTGCGCAGCAGTGATGAGGTTTTTATTGCTCACTTATAAATCAGGATATATCGTGAAGCTCAACAAGACGAACAAGCAACAGAACACAGATTTTCATGTATTCATTCATAATGTCATGTCTTTATTACCACCATCTAAAAAAAGCACAGTCTGCCTCTAACAGACGTCTGCCTAAAGGACTCGGATCAGGTTTCCCATGAAACCCTGTGACGCTCACACTTCCCAGTGCATGGAAGTCAGCGTCAGTGAGCAACACTGGCTAACGTTAGCTTACAGACAGAGTCCACTGATCGCTAGCATGAACACACAACCGAATATCAGTAACATCTCATCACAGTTCACAGGTTACCGTAAAATGACAAATGTTTCGTCGAGCACAGTTCAGGCAAACACCTGCTGAATGATGACTGAAGTTTGACTGAATTCTGTGGACGAACAAATGGACACCTCGCTGTTGATGATTGGCTCTAAACATGCAGGCATCTGTGAAAAAGAGGGTAATGTATACACCGTCTTATGACTGGACACAGTGTAGATAAATGCCATCGTGCAGCAGGAAGAAGAAGCAAACGTCATTCAAGAGAACGTCTGACATGATCCACGAGGTTGGCCGTTAATCTGCTGCTGTGGGTTTTCAATCTGTCGCTGTGAAAAGTCCCGATAAGCTTCACGTCTTTTACATGAAGAGCGCTGAGAGAAACCTGGAGAGGCCGAGAATGACCACCGAATAGTTTTTATGGCGCTTTGGGTGTTTCTCTTAAATCAAAGATAACACAAATGACTGGAACACCACATAAGGACAAAAGTGGCACTCAGCATAGTCAATGCTGGACTGATATATCATGAAGCAGAGAGGCCACACAGTGCACCAACCAGGCTCCACATAGATGTGCTGCAGCTGTGTTTTTAAGGGGCGAGAGGTTTCCCAGATCTCCTTTCATGAAAACTTGGAAACGAGGTTTGAGCACAAAGAAACATTTAGTTTGCAGAAAGATGAGTTGGAGGAAAGAAGGAAGGAGAACAGACTTCAAAGGAATAAAAATGGAGATTAATGGGTGGGGTTGGGAAAGCATCAGAGGAGGGAAGGAAGAAGGGAGCAAGATGCTGGCGAGGAGGAGGAAAATAAGGAGTGGGAGAGGGAGGCTGATCGCTCACAGCGTGGCGTACCGACAAAACAACAGCACAGATTTCTCAGCAGGCCGAGCCGCTGATGAATGGTGGTTAAATATCACAGCTGTCTGAGAGGAGGAGCTCGGAGGATGAAGGAGGAGTGCAAGAAAAGCTGGGAGAAGGACTGAGCGTGGTGATCAAAGCTGGAGCTGACAGGCTGTGGAGACGTGAGGGCATGGGAAGGTGAGGAAGAGGAGGCGGTTGTTGGGAGGAAGAGGAAGGAGCTGGTGACCACCTGCTCACAGCATGGTGTTCAGTCAGAACAACGGAGGTTTCTGAGCAGCCTGCAAGGAGATGAATGAAGCTGGTGATGACTGCTGGTTAAATGTGGCTTTTCTGACCTTATAAGACCCGCCTTTGATTTTTGATTCACTCCTTTTATGGTTTTGCGTTTGTACTTCCTGTCTCTGAATCAGAGGCCAAGCTTGTGATTGGCTGCTAATACTTGTTTAGTCCATTGAAATTGAACCATGACATGGTGGGAGGGCATGAAGACTGACGATGTGACGAGGAACAGAGATAAACTGGAGACTTAAATACACAGAGGATGGACAACAGGTGGAAACACAGCAGGAACAAATCTGACTGACGGAACAGGGGAAGCAAAACCGAACATAACACACCTGAGACCAGGTAGCTTCAAAATAAAACAGGAAGTGGCGCCCACCGTGAGACCCAGACAAAGACATGCAAGCTTAACAATAGAAGAGGGAAACACAGAGGAGCGTGCTAAAGACACAACATAGAGACGAAGACTACAGTGGACGGGACAACAAGAACCACCAGGGATGAACAACAAGAAAAACGAAACCAGGAAATATGAATCACTCTAGGAACGCCTTAATGTTTAGTCAAGAGCACTGGATCAACGACCCAGCACCACGACAGACTTGGACCTGAGCATCCTAAGATGGAGCTCCTGGTTCTCGCTGAGATGTTCCTTCCTCGGAGACTGACTCCTCGTGTTTCTTATCCACAGCTTAGCTTGGAAGACGATGACACACGAGGAAGAGTAGAAATGTGTCTTCTTCCTGTTACACATGCAGAAGAAGCTTAGAAGCTTCTGAAATGATATCACCGGATTCGTCTCTGCTCTAATGATGCACCATTAATGCTTCAGACATCTGTAAACAGTGGAGCGCTCCTCTCTTAACATCATTTCACTGAGAGCACAGGGAAAACACAGTGAGGCTCACAGGCTTGCAGAACCGCACTGCCATCCATTACGAGTCGTTATATGAGACGTAATAAACGTTTGAGCTTTTCCAGACCATTTTCCCCCATGAATACAATTTCCCGCTGCACATTAGAGCTCCGAGAATCCTTCGCGGGATCTGAAAGAGTCATTGCACCCGTACTGTCATTACCTCAGTGCGAGGCCGACGATGTGCAGAGGAAATCTTTTCACAGGGCGGATGCAGCGGTATTAATAAAGGGCCTGATAAATAAAGTTAGCACTGTGTTCATTTTCATCTCTTATATTTTTACACAGTAGCAATTTATGTTTGAGGTTCATTCGTGACGATGGCTTCGTCTTTATTTATTTTTAATCTGTTCCACATTTTGTCTGAAACCGCCTGCAGCTCCATCGCTTTAACTGTTGCTTATGGATTTTGGGGGTTTCCTGCATGTTGTCAGTCTTTCAGGCCGCACGAGGGCAGAGCACGCTAACAGGACGCGTTGGAGCTGAGTGGAAGGAAAGCAGACGATCCTGTGTTTCAGTAAACTTTGGCAAATACAGCCAACAGTCCGATAATGTGACAATGACAGGAGCCGAGATGATGCATCATCAGTGCAGCTTAAGAGCAAAGACTGGGAAGCTCCTCTAACTGGGTGAAGCAGGTAGATGAGGAGTCTGAGAGGGTTTTTAAATTCCTTTTTTAAAGAGTTATTTTTAAATTTAGGTGAAAATACATGAGCGCTAAACAGACGGCATGTGGAGGCATCGCCTCTGAAAGTGTAAAAGGATTAGGAACATAAAAGCTTCTCTGGGATCGAGACGGGGACGTTTCCCACAGCCTGGTCATATCTGTCCTCCTGAGCACAGGTAGGAGGAGAGGAGGAGGCACCAATGAGAGAAATAAGAAAAGCCTCACAGCTGCTTTGGTTGGTAAACCTCCCACCACAGGGGGGCGCAGCGCTGTTGCCAACCAGGCAGAGGTGATTAAATCAAGAGGTTACTTGACTCAGGTGTTTCTAAACTGGCTGCCTGTAAATGGAGGTTACAGGAGCAGCAGATGCACATGCATAAGTAAGTAACGAACTTCCTGTTTTATGTAAGTTTACTTCTTTTCATGCTGGAGATGAGCTGATCCTGATGCTGCTTTGGTGGAAGTGCTCCAGGTGCCTCACATGTCTCTGAGCGGGACAAAATGAGGAACTTGGAAATTGTGTTTTCTGCATTTTACCTGCTCAGCTGTCAGGCTTCAGGATACGGTGGCTGTCGGTGCGATCATGCACTGCTGTGGGTCGGTGGATCCTCCATCAAGGTGAACAGACCTCTTCCTCTGAAGGCTGAAGTGTGTTTTAATGTGGATTTGAGATCTAATTGCAAAGTGTGGAGCTTTTTGGGTCATTTATTTGGTTGGAAAAGTGTTTGAGGTCAGATCCTTTGGTCAGTAATACCCTCCAGCCTGAGGCTGAGGCACTGTGCCGACAGATGGCAGCTTAGAGGAGGAACTGCTGGCTTGAGAGGCCAAACATCCATCGTCTCTTAATCCAGCAGCTCAGTCCTCTCCTCTGCTCCTCCTGCAAATCGTTTCTTAGCATCCGTTTACTCTCCAAATAATGGCACATCTGCAGTATCTGTCCCTGTGATGCTCCACGGCTGGATGTGATCTGATGACACCTGTTTGAACTCCTGACCTCACCTTTAGTGTTGCACACCTTTTCTCTGCCACAGTGAGCTTCTGCTGTGATGGTTACAGCTGGAACTGATGGAGATGATGTTGGTTTTCTTCCTTCTGATGATGACATATTGAAATTGAAAGCAGGAGACCACGATAGTCTGTTTTCTTTGTTTCTTTTTTATTTTGTCTCAAAACAGTTTCAGTAGACTGACAAAGTGAAAAAAACATGTAGAGCTTTTATTCTAATTCTGTTCAGACTTTGATTTTGTCAAGAAAAGCTAAAAGTGTTAACTTGATGTTGCTTGGTGGACGATTGTTGGACCGCCGAGGCCTTCAGAGCTCCAGTTCACTTGAATTTTATTTATATAGCGCCAAATCACAACAGCAGTCGCCTCAAGGCGATCGTACAATAATAGATTCAGAGAAAACCCAACAATCATATGACCCCCTATGAGCAGCACTTTGGCGACAGTGGAAAGGAAAAACTCAATGCATCATGGGAATCCCCCGGCAGCCTACGTCTATTGCAGCATAACTAAGGGAGGATTCAGGGTCACCTGGTCCAGCCCTAACTATATGCTTTAGCAAAAAGGAAAGTTTGAAGCCTGATCTTGAAAGTAGAGATAGTGTCTGTCTCCTGAATCCAAACTGGAAGCTGGTTCCACAGAAGAGGGGCCTGAAAACTGAAGGCTCTGCCTCCCATTCTACTTTTAAATACTCTAGGAACAACAAGTAGGCCTGCAGAGCGAGAGCGACGTGCTCTAATAGGGTGATATGGTACTACAAGGTCATTAGGATACGATGGGGCCTGATTATTTAAGACCTTGTATGTGAGGAGCAGGATTTCAGTCGAAGCAGTGAAGCAGCAACTTAAAAGCAGTTTTTATTTTTCCTCTGTGTTCAACGAGTTTTTCTCCTTGTTCAGCTTCTTTCTGCGCCCTTTAGCAGTGACTGATGATCCTGGATTTCCCGTGATATTCATAAGAGTTTGTGTTTGTCCGTCTCTTTCCTCCTTCCTGTATGTGTTCATCCTCTTCTTTATAACTTGGCATCTGTATATCAAAGCAAATGTCACACACGGTAGTAATCTCCCCTGCTGGGCGTGCTGTGTATGAGCAGCCACTGCGTCTCCCTCCAGAGCAGCAACATTTTAAAGATAAAGACTTTTTTTTTTTTTCCCAGTGCAGCATCCGTGTGAGGGAAATCAGCAGGAGGTCGTGGCTGCCCTCACCCACACCAGCATTCCCACCCTTCCCTCCCCACTTTTATTACTAACCCTATATATCACATCCTCCCCTCATATCTCCCTCCTCCACCACCTCCTCCTGTCATTTTTGATGGATAAGGTCTTGTGATTGCATAGTCAGACCTTTGGAGCATCTGACTCTGTGTGTGTGCGCATGTTGATTGGATTGCTTTTACAGGCAGAAAGGCCGTATGGATGAACAAAGCAGCCCCAGTCAAGCCAAGCCCTGCTCACATAGTGTGTTTGTGTTACCGTGTCCTGTATCTTCTGTGCAGAGCTCCGGATATGGACTTTCTTATTTTGCAGGGTACCATGTTGCTGCGTGTTAATTGGCCACATTTTTCTTCCTCGCCGTTGGTTTGAAACCGACAGCAGCGCTCAGTCTCTTCTTATTGATCCATATCGACTTATAAATGTCGCCGGCAGTAATTTTCTGTGTGGCTGTGCTGTTTAACAGCTCTGTTTGTGTTTAAGTCGAGGCTGTCAGTTGTGACATGAGCAGATGATTGGACGTGCTTTTTGTTCTCAGGCTCTCCGAGAGTAGCTTTGCATGATTCACAGTTTAGAATAATCCTCACATGGGGTCTTGGTGTGTCAAGTCATCTTTGGCCACCCCCCCACCCCCCAATGTGTGTCTGCGATTCTCTCTATGACATCATATGATCCAAAAATAGCGTTTAGAGCATATGTTTTATGTTTTCCTCTCTCGGGGATTACTTGCACGCATGTGAACCTCATTTTGTGAAACTTTAATCATGTTTCATATGAGCATCCATGATTGGAGCAGGAGCTGAGAGACAGGAAGTGAGGAAAAGCAGAACTACTGTTCAGTACATAAACCCATCAGTTATGATTCAGGTGGTGTTTAAGGCAGGGACGACCATTCTTTGGTATTTCAGTGTAAACGTGAAGCTCGGGATTGAGGCTTTTGCTTCGTAGTTCAGTCAGAACAGAGTCTGTCATCTTTAGATGGAAACTAGCTAGCTAATGCGAAACCTTGTAAATCCTCTTTTTCATGAACGCCTGGAAGTTAAAATTTATTGTACAAACTGTGAGAGCGGCCACACTGGGGTGGCTG